TATCAGTGATATGTAGGTATGAACATCGTACGGCTGGGACAATATACTGACTATATGATATGGTACACACAACTTACACCCTCCTGTCTTGTTTCACCCTTTCTCACTTTGCTTTCCCCTCCCAATTTTTTACCCTTTTTAACTTTGCTTCCTCCCATCCCACTTTACTTAAACACTTAGCCCCCAACTCCACCTCCCTCTTTGCACATTTGCACTACACATCATGATGCATACATATTAGTGTGTAAGTTGAGAAGGTAACAAGATGATAGACAAAAGGAAGAGGGAAAGCAGAAGACAAAGGAGGATAGGGAGAGGAAGAAATGGTGAAAGAGGAGGGGAGAAGAAAACACTGTAAAGGAGGAGAAGGTGGAGAAGTGAGAGGGAAGGGAAAGTAGAAGAGGAAGTGAAAGAATAGGGGGAGAGAAGGTGGAGAAGTGGGAGGGAAGGGAAGGTAGAAGAGGAAGGAAAAGAATAGGGGGAGAGAAGGTAGAGAGAAGTGGGAGGGAAGGGAAGGTAGAAGAGGAAGGAAAAGAATAGGGGGAGAGAAGGTGGAGGAGGATAGGAGAGGAAGAGAAGGTGGAGAAGTGGGAGGGAAGGGGAAGGTAGAATAGGAAGTGTAGGAATAGGGGGAGAGAAGGTGGAGAAGTAGGAGGGAAGGGAATGTAGAAGAGGAAGTGAAAGAATAGGGGGAAAGAAAGTAGAGAGAAGTGGAGGAAGAGGAAAGAGGAAGAGAAGGTAGAGAAGGATGGAGGGAGAAGGTAGAGGAGGACAGAGAGAGAAGGTAGAGGAGGACAGAAAGAGAAGGTAGAGGAGGACAGAGAGAGAAGTTAGAGGAGGATAGAGAGAGAAGGTAGAGAAGGATGGAGGGAAGGGAAGGTAGAAAGGAAGTGAAAGAATAGGGGGAAAGAAAGTAGAGAGAAGTGGAGGAAGAGGAAAGAGGAAGAGAAGGTAGAGAAGGATGGAGGGAGAAGGTAGAGGAGGACAGAGAGAGAAGGTAGAGGAGGACAGAGAGAGAAGGTAGAGGAGGACAGAGAGAGAAGGTAGAGGAGGACAGAGAGAGAAGGTAGAGGAGGACAGAGAGAGAAGATAGAGGAGGACAGAGAGAGAAGTTAGAGGAGGATAGAGAGAGAAGGTAGAGAAGGATGGAGGGAAGGGAAGGTAGAAGAGGAAGTGAAAGAATAGGGGGAAAGAAAGTAGAGAGAAGTGGAGGAAGAGGAAAGAGGAAGAGAAGGTAGAGAAGGATGGAGGGAGAAGGTAGAGGAGGACAGAGAGAGAAGGTAGAGGAGGACAGAGAGAGAAGGTAGAGGAGGACAGAGAGAGAAGGTAGAGGAGGACAGAGAGAGAAGGTAGAGGAGGACAGAGAGAGAAGGTAGAGGAGGACAGAGAGAGAAGGTAGAGGAGGACAGAGAGAGAAGGTAGAGGAGGACAGAGAGAGAAGGTAGAGGAGGACAGAGAGAGAAGGTAGAGGAGGACAGAGAGAGAAGGTAGAGGAGGACAGAGAGAGAAGGTAGAGGAGGACAGAGAGAGAAGGTAGAGGAGGACAGAGAGAAAAGGTAGAGGAGGACAGAGAGAGAAGGTAGAGGAGGACAGAGAGAGAAGGTAGAGGAGGACAGAGAGAGAAGGTAGAGGAGGATAGAGAGAAAAGGTAGAGGAGGACAGAGAGAGAAGGTAGAGGAGGACAGAGAGAGAAGGTGGAGGAGGACAGAGCGAGAAGGTAGAGGAGGACAGAGAGAAAAGATAGAGGAGGACAGAGAGAGAAGGTAGAGGAGGACAGAGAGAGAAGGTAGAGGAGGCCAGAGAGAGAAGGTGGAGGAGGAGGGGAGAGGAACAGAAGGTGGTGGAGGATGAGAGAGTGAGAGAAGGGGGAGGAGGAGGGGAGAGGAAGAGAAGGAGGAGGAGGAGGGGAGAGGAAGAGAAGGTGGGGGAGGAGGGGAGAGGAAGAGAAGGTGGAGGCGGAGGGGCGAGGAAGAGAAGGTGGAGGAGGAGGGGAGAGTAAGAGAAGGTGGAGGAGGAGGGGAGAGGAACAGAAGGTGGTGGAGGATGAGAGAGTGAGAGAAGGTGGAGGAGGAGGGGAGAGGAAGAGAAGGTGGTGGAGGAGGAGAGAGGAAAAGAAGGTGGAGGAGGATGAGAGAGTAAGAGAAGGTGGAGGAAGAGGGGAGAGGAAGAGAAGGTGGAGGAGGATGAGAGAGAGTGAGAGAAGGTGGAGGAGGATGAGAGAGTGAGAGTTTATGCCGGACCTTGTACTGTGTCACTTCCCTGTCAGAAAATTTGTCCTCATAAATACGCAATCATAGCTTGGTTAAACCTGAGTAAGATGACAGAAAGTCAGGATATGCTGCCTTTCATTTTCTTCAAAAGTCATAGAAGCATAAATTCTCTAATCATAGATTATCCCATGTCTGTTGAAGTGATAGGAAATATTGGTCTTATGACATGCCTTTGCTGTGTCAGTATAGACCTGAAAGTAATGGTCTGTTTGTTACATTCAATTAGAAACGTATATTGTTGTTGTGAATACAGTTTGTAAGGTAATTGTTATTTCTGTGTAATTCTAAACACAATTATTTTGCTTCCCCAGTAATGTTTCCGCTGACTGCTGGGATAGCCTATCCGACAGGAAGCCACTATTCCTAGTACTCCCACACAGATTTGTTTGAGGACAATATCTTAATTTCCTTCACAAAAAGATTCAAGTTTCCTCCTTAAATATAAATTGGTTTAATTACCAAAGAAAGGACCAATTAGTCACACAAACCTGAACATAATTGCTTTGTCAATGAGTGGATAGTGAAGGAGATAAGCAGTAGTAATATGATGCATTTAATCAATGGAATCAAGGGAGACAACTCTTCACAACCAATTACAAAGTAATTATCTAGGCTGTCTATCCTTAATATAGGATTCAAACTAAGAGGGATACAAACTAATGCAACCAATTTCTTCTAACAATACATATGCTCCCCTGGAGACAGCTCTATATATACTCACCCCTCCTCTCCCTCCTCATCTTCTGGAGACAGCTCTATATACTCTACTCCTCCTCTCCCTCCTCATCTTCTGGAGACAGCTCTATATACACTCACCCCTCCTCTCCCTCCTCATCTTCTGGAGACAGCTCTATATATACTCACCCCTCCTCTCCCTCCTCATCTTCTGGAGACAGCTCTATATATACTCACCCCTCCTCTCCCTCCTCATCTTCTGGAGACAGCTCTATATATACTCACCCCTCCTCTCCCTCCTCATCTTCTGGAGACAGCTCTATATATACTCACCCCTCCTCTCCCTCCTCATCTTCTGGAGACAGCTCTATATATACTCACCCCTCCTCTCCCTCCTCATCTTCTGGAGACAGCTCTATATATACTCACCCCTCCTCTCCCTCCTCATCTTCTGGAGACAGCTCTATATATACTCACCCCTCCTCTCCCTCCTCATCTTCTGGAGACAGCTCTATATATACTCACCCCTCCTCTCCCTCCTCATCTTCTGGAGACAGCTCTATATATACTCACCCCTCCTCTCCCTCCTCATCTTCTGGAGACAGCTCTATATATACTCACCCCTCCTCTCCCTCCTCATCTTCTGGAGACAGCTCTATATATACTCACCCCTCCTCTCCCTCCTCATCTTCTGGAGACAGCTCTATATATACTCACCCCTCCTCTCCCTCCTCATCTTCTGGAGACAGCTCTATATATACTCACCCCTCCTCTCCCTCCTCATCTTCTGGAGACAGCTCTATATATACTCACCCCTCCTCTCCCTCCTCATCTTCTGGAGACAGCTCTATATATACTCACCCCTCCTCTCCCTCCTCATCTTCTGGAGACAGCTCTATATATACTCACCCCTCCTCTCCCTCCTCATCTTCTGGAGACAGCTCTATATATACTCACCCCTCCTCTCCCTCCTCATCTTCTGGAGACAGCTCTATATATACTCACCCCTCCTCTCCCTCCTCATCTTCTGGAGACAGCTCTATATATACTCACCCCTCCTCTCCCTCCTCATCTTCTGGAGACAGCTCTATATATACTCACCCCTCCTCTCCCTCCTCATCTTCTGGAGACAGCTCTATATATACTCACCCCTCCTCTCCCTCCTCATCTTCTGGAGACAGCTCTATATATACTCACCCCTCCTCTCCCTCCTCATCTTCTGGAGACAGCTCTATATATACTCACCCCTCCTCTTCCTCCTCATCTTCTGGAGACAGCTCTATATATACTCATCCCTCCTCTACCTCCTCATCTTCTGGAGACAGCTCTATATATACTCATCCCTCCTCTACCTCCTCATCTTCTGGAGACAGCTCTATATATACTCACCCCTCCTCTCCCTCCTCATCTTCTGGAGACAGCTCTATATATACTCTACCCCTCCTCTACCTCCTCATCTTCTGGAGACAGCTCTATATATATTCACCCCTCCTCTCCCTCCTCATCTTCTGGAGACAGCTCTATATATACTCTACCCCTCCTCTCCCTCCTCATCTTCAGGAGACAGCTCTTTTGTACTTCTTTTTTAAATTCGATAACACATTGAGTCAAGGACTCATCTCACATGTGGTCGATATGAAATATACAATATTTACAACTACCCCTCTTCTCCCTCCTCATCTCCTGACCTATTGTGGAAGCAGATGGAGTCTCATCATCTTAATTAATTGTTGCTGTTGTCATAAAATGTCTAGCCTATACTCGTAAAAAGTGATCAGCTATCTATTTCTGTGTTTATTTCCAGTCATCATGGCTTCTTTCAGTTTGCCTATGTTTTAACATTCTTAGCAAAAAGCAGAATTCCTGAATTAATATTAAAGCAAGTATCTGATCCTTCCTTGTCATGTATCAGATAAGAAATATTTAAAATATACTGAGAACCTATGTATTCCTCATATATACCTGGGTGTAGTTGTATATTTTATTTGATGATTTTGTTGTATGTACCCTGGGTGTTGAGATCAGTACCTACATAATGCTTGTTTCCTGTTCCAGTGCCAGTTTGGCTGTGAGCACTACAATGTTGCCTTGGAGACGACCTGTCAACAGGCCTGCAGTGAATCCGTGGTTGAGGTAAGTATTTTTTTTTTATTTGGTCTTTTTTTCTGTTATATCAGTAACTGTATCTCCTCAAGCTAGATGTAACTGATTATAGCCAAACTGTTTGGATTTCTTGAGCTCTCCCTTATTTCACTCCTTATTTGAAACCATGGCAACATTAGGGCTACCCTGAAATAATATCTACACCTTTATATAGAGATATTTGATAGGGTGTGACATTAGGTGTCTCCATCACCAGGAGTCTAACCCATGCCTTCCAGTGCACAGGACACTGTCACACCCTCCTCATGGTGGCCCGGACAGTTGTCCTGTTTTTGTACTCTTCTGTAATGAAGGTAAAGTAATCTTCATTTGTTGACCTGTAACTAAGTTGGAATGGTTTATTGTTGTGCTGACAAACATCTTTTGTTTAGGTTCATCGGTGTCAAAATTAATCAGGACTTGCAGGCCATCCTACATCAGTAGTTGTGCCCATCTGACGTAGGTAGAGATGAGAATAGAACACACAGTATATATACTAAACAGGAATACATAGAACACACAGTATCATATACTAAACAGGAATACATAGAACACACAGTATATATACCAAACAGGAATACATAGAACACACAGTATATATACTAAACAGGAATACACAGAGCACACAGTATATATACTAAACAGGAATACATGACCTAATGGCTTGCCCTAGATCACAAGATGGACACTCACTTTTCAAGCCACTAAGTCATAGAATCATTAGAAATTGTTTGACCCTGTCTTTTTGTTAAGGTCATTGGAGTGTATTGATAAACGGAAATAGAAATTACATCCCTAGTTGAAAATCCAATGTAGGGAGACAGTATCACAATTTCCGCATATTCTAATGTTTAATATTAAACTGATTAATATTGTATGTTTATTTTTGACAGAACAGTGTGTTCTCTCAATATTAAAATATTTAAAATCAATCCAGCCATTAATTCAGTTGTTTTTTTATCAATGAGTAACATGTGTCATTTCCTGTACTTCAGGAAACCGGCTACCTATTTCACTACTGTGAAGTTTTTCAAGAAAGATAACTCTTACCTGCAATTTCTATGTGTATATAATTTTATTATAAAATGTCAATTTTTAATCGTTTACAGATAATTAATTTAACACAATTTCACCATTTATTAAATTGATATACATTAATGCAATACTAATCTATGTCAATATAATTTTTATTGACATCATTTTGGAAAAAAATGTGTCTTTCATTTTTTTTCAAAATTCATTCCTTTTTACATAAATTTCAATTTAAAATCCCTGAAAAAAAAATTGTGGCAAAAAATGTTCTTTAATTCAAAGCAATATAACTACAAAATTTCAAGAAATTCTACTGAGATTGGTGACACAATCCTATTACCTTCAATGCTTGAAACAGGAGCAAATTGATGGGGTATATTTATTGATTTAGTTGATAGGGTAGGGTAAGGTGTAGCAAATTGAAGGGGTATATTTGTTGATTTAGTTGATAGGGTAGGGTTAGGTGTAGCAAATTGATGAGGTATATTTGTTGATTTAGTTGATAGGGTAGGGTTAGGTGTAGCAAATTGATGAGGTATATTTGTTGATTTAGTTGATAGGGTAGGGTTAGGTGTAGCA